GACGAAAATGCCCCTGACCGAAGGACTCGCGCTAAGGCGATCACCGGCGAGTCCTCTACGAGTGGGTGTCAAGTAAACACCAGCTAATCTAATACCGACTCGCGACTAGATAGTGATGTTTAAGAGTACTGCCTCTCACTTTGCCTCGGATTTACAATGTAATGCATTCTTCAAAGATGTATTCGGCTTTCATGGCATCTTGCGCCGCTGGATTAAAGGAACAAACAGCGTATACTTGTCATAACTGCAGCGTTGCTTATTTGCTTCACATACGCCGGTTCTTTAGCATGCGCAATGCTTGTGTTCTTCAATTGTAACAGGATGAAATGACGCCTAGTCATGCCAAAATATGGCATATCAGTTTTATTCAATGTTCACAATAACTCAAATTTATTAGACAGCACAAAATTGTAATAAGCACAAAAAAATCTGTGGGCACTACTTTTTTTGCATTATGCTTGGATAAATTACCGGTACGTATGCGAATTGCAGTGTGATAGATGACTTGGCAATCTGCTCAAGGATAACGCTAATAGTAGGTACTGCATGCTCAGGAAAGAAACAGGGCGGCAGGAATACTGATGCATGAAAGTCCAGTGCCTTGAACGTCTTTAGTGCAGAGTCCAATGGGCAGCAGACGATGTGGATTACATTTAACGCCGAGTGCTTTCTTCGGTACCATCGAAAACGTGCTGTGCAAGGATGCAGTAGCAGCAAACATAGGCCTAGTGCCCCATGTCTTCCAGATAAGAAACAAGGGCAATGGTTTGTAATACTGTATTCAGGTATACAGTATTCCGAACCATTGCCCTTGTTTTATATCTGGAAGACATGGGTCACCAGGCATACGTTTGCTGCTACTGCATCCTTGTGCAGCACATTGTTTCCGCAGGTACCGACGAAAGGACTCTGCGTTAAATGTAATCCACGTCGTCCACTGCCCGTTGGACACTGCACTCAAACGTTCACCTACGATAAAACGCACCTTACAATTTCGCACACAGCAGAGAACGCAAGTGCGGAACACTAAAACACGTGAGGAGGTGTGTCATCGCAGACGAATTTTACAAACGTGCCTCATTGAGTGAAAGAGTCATAAGAAGGGGCTTAGCCTTGTGTAGACATCATGGGGCACATTGGTTCTGCTGCCATTTTATTGCAAGATACAGGGTAAATTTACACACATGAATTTGCATGTTACATGAGCATGTTAGACATATAGAGAATTTACATTCAACTTGGTTCCCAGAGTAGAAGTCCAAGAACTGTCCCGAGCTCACTGCATTGTCTAACCATTCTACCAGCTCCAAGCAACTATTTCTTTGGTCATGAAACTACCAGCCTGAAAATAGTGTGATGCAACCACACCAACCGAGAGACTCGAAACATTTCATTTTCAGCAATGTTTCACAGCTCACAAAGATTTTGGTTTGCAGTCCACCAACAGGAGGGAACACCAACAATATTTATTGAAGTTTCTGTACAAGCATATAAGCAGAGCTCCCTCTAAAGGAGTACTGTCAAATTTCCGCAAGCAGCCCCTTCATGGAGTGCACCTGCCACGCCAGTTAAGTTACTGTAGAGTTCAATCCAGAGGCACGAGATATATCCACAAGCCAATACAAGATGCAAAGCATGGCTTAACACCTTGACAATATAACAGCGTATATGTGTTTTATAGATTTTAAAATTGACCAAAATAGAAGATGCATTGCTGCAAACAAGGCAGCCCTTTGCAACAGCGACAATATGCTGTGTTCCAAAAGCAAACGCGAAATCTTTGACCAGCAACAGCAGCGTCAGGGCAGCATCATACTAGCTTCATTTACACACAACTGGTGCAAACAAGGCAACCATCACTATGCATTCATGCTACAAATCTCAACAGGACAGCCACCTGGAAGGACACACATTTGAACAATGGCTCAGTGGTCTCGCAGGGCTCTGTTTAGCATGTCCCGGCAACTCTGCAAAACCTTGCAGAGTATTAAAGGCAGTGGCCGTTCTCTTCCGCTTTAAAACAAGCAGAATTAAAAGAAGGCAAAACATCATAGCCTTAGTGGAAACCTGCGACATAAAAGTGAGCATTGCTGTCAGCAACTTCCCATACATGGTCAGTTGTACGACGAAGGTCTTGTATAGTTCAGCACTTGCATGCATGGCCTTCAAAAATATATACAAAAAAAGGAAGCTCTGCAAGCATTCCACCACAGAGACTGCAACTATTGCAGTTATTCTGGGACAAGCAAAACCGATGTGGGACGAGTTTTCATTCCAGCCAAGGGAAGAGGGGGGACAAACGCGGCTAAAGCCGAGACCAAACGGTGCAGCCCATCTCCGTCGCTTGGAGGGAGCGTGCGATAACATCCCCCACCCGGGAGGCCTGCAGTCGAAGCTACACCCGCCTTGAAAGAGAACAAAAAGTGAGGGAGTGAGGGAAGGGGGTCGCTCAAGCAACAACTCGTGATTGTGATCACTGGCAAGCATGCTAGCTCGGCTGCCACCAGCGGGCGGCTCACATACACTTCTATGTGCAGCACTTGAAGTGACCGTATTCTAGTACACCAGCATTTTGTACAGTTACGTCACATCGGATCCAATCTGATCCAAAAAAGTTGATCTGCCAGCCTCATTTCATATAGCATTACAATTCGCTGCTATCGCATTCCTTGTTTCACCCTTGCGATGAAACTGCGACATTTAGAGGGGCCCTGAAACACTTTTTCAAGTAACCATGGAATGAGTTCACCTGGAAGAGCTTATTGCCTCACAAACTCAACGCTGCAAAAAAAAAAAAAGAATCCTTCTAGTGCGAGCGTAGTTACAAAGATTTGTCGCATGCTGCTATCGCATTTTCTGTTCTCTCGTCCTGACGAAAGCACTGGAAACTGAGCAGGGAGGGATGGCAGGAAGCAAAGAAAATACGTCACGCCTCGTGACCTTGAGCACTCTTTCTTTCTTCTACTGTGCGGCTTTTTCAGCGTGATCGCACACGTGGGCAAGTTGCGGCCTCCCGCGGCGATTTCTGTAATGACCGAGTGCGACATGTTCAATTCAGCAAATGGCTAATGATGATATGTGGGGTTTAACGTCCCAAAACCACCATATGATTATGAGAGACGCCGTAGTGGAGGCTCCGGAAATTTCGACCACCTTGGGTTCAGCCAATGGCTAATAGATGGCTTTCTACGAGTGATTTTAAAGCACCTTCCATCATTTGTCAAGAGAAGAGGAAGCAATCTTTAGCTGACTTTCATAACTTTTTGTGAATTCCAGGCTGCGTGCAGCGCTATAATATTTGGCTCGCGTGTTCTTGAGAGCCTCTACTACCGATCGGCAGCATTTCCTGACCATGCTCAAAAAGTGTTATGCCGGGGTCCACCACAGCTCCACCGACATATCTGTCATGAATATGACTTAATAAAATATATACTAACAAATAGCAATGAAAAAAAAGCTAGGAAGAAAAGTTCTGTTGCAGGGCATCAAACCAGCAACCTATCACTCTGCAGCGCATACCACTAAGCCACAGAACGTACATCGTCAAGAGTGTCAACAGCAAGCAATAATTATATGCCATGTACCATTTGGTAGTCCTCAGAGCTTCGCAACTTCAGTGCGTTTTCGTCATCAGTATCAAGATGACGCCACGAGCTCGCATTGAGCACGCTCTGAAGGTCGTCGCCTCCTTCCTCCATGCTTTTCACCTCTTGATGAGCGCCGCCTCCTCAAGATTGTCTCTCCTGCGCATGCACTTATCAGACGTTTGATTCAGCAGAGCACGAACGCACAGCCACTCCGCTCGCTGCCACGCTTACGAAAGAAGCACGCTGTTCATACACCAAGTAAGGATTTTTGAAAGTTGGCATTCGTCCTCTGTATACTTGCGAGCTTGTTTCGTGTGCTTTTGTTTGAACAGCGCACTTTAAGTGTCGAGCCGTGACAGCTCTCAGTCCGTGCCCGTCCTGTGCACGCCCGTTTCGTGCATGTTTTCTGCTTGAGGTACGTGCTGCAACTTTCTAGCAGCTTGCAATTCTTCGCGTCACTTTGCAATTTGTTGGTGTAGCATTCATTCCTTTGCCCTTGCGTCAAAACAGTGAACAATAAACGCTTAACTACTTCTGTGCATACACGTTTCACTTTCGTGTTACAATACCGATTCCCAGAGAGAGGGATCAGCCACTTTTCTTTTTTGTTATGCACAGACACCATTTTCTTTTTTAACCAGAACGCACAAGTGTCAAACCACCGAGTCGGCAAGCACGAAGCACAGCGGCCAAATGAACGAGAATATGCACATGCGCTCAATGAGCAGTGATCTGCACCTGTCTTTGCCAGGCTGTTCCAGGAACAGGACACCAAACCCGCTTCTTTTGAGCACCATTACTGCGATCATTTCTTTCTTTTTCTCAATGCTGCCACCAAGTTGTAAAAGAAACTTCAGCAGAATGCTGAACCGATGAACGCACCAGCAACAAATGGTCAGGCTGGCAGCTAACTCTTTTAAATATGGTATCGTGTAACTCTAGAAAAGGCTGGTGTGAAATAATACAGCCGCGCCAGAAAGAGAGGCTCTTCTCGCAGTCTTTTCGCATGTAGAAGGGTTCACAATTAATTCCCACTAATGCCCGCCGTGATTGCAGGCACATAGCGATCAAGACCGGGCCCTCAGAATCAAAGTTCACGGCTGCTGCTGGAGCGAGCCTTTACGAAACCGAAACTATAAGCATTCCGATTAAATAAACAGACGATGCTTCAGGCACTTCACCGGGCACGGCGCTTGATGGCTTTCGCACCTTGCTGCTAAATTGCGGTGTTGCGGCCCAGTACAGCGCTGATAAGGAAGTTTGGCGCAGCAGGAGTGGTTCAGCGCAGATAAACAAGTTTGGCGCACAATGGCGCAAATAGCACAGCTGTTCCACCCCAGACATCGGCAACCCTGTTTTCTCGGCGTGTTCCTCCATCAACGCTGCAAGTGTCTCTACTGCTCGACACAAGAATAGGGGACAAACAGGTGGCAGTTCATTCTTTCCAAATACATGCAGATGCAAACATACTATACGGCTGCACATAGTGGCTACTGCGTCATGACAATACCACTCTTCATCCAGATGGTCAGGAGAGTAAAACATTCCATGCATCTGAATGCTCAGAACGAGAGACAAACATTTTCATGGGACTGGTCACGCTTGTAAGGCTGCTTTGCATTAGGAACCACTTCAAAGAACAGTGCAATCACTGCGTCGTCAAGGCTAAAAACGGCACAACGCTAAAAGCAAATTTCGCGCCCAGAGCTAAAAAAAATGTATCCCGTGCCATTCCAAAATACAACAGTTGTTACGCTTAGCTTACTAAGCACGAAAGCAAAAAAATATATATATGCATATAAATAATGGGGCCAGCTGGGGAATGTGTCCAAGATGCTAACAATTGGAGCCTAGGCGGGACAAGAGTCCGCAGCGCCAAAACTGCAAATAAAAGCGGGAAGGCACTATTCCGAAAGTGGCCCGGGAAGCACTACGCGTTATGTGAACTCAAGCATGCAACAGTTAAGAGGTGGCCTCACAGCCAGTCCTCGTGCTGCCCACAATAACACAGCACCTGGAAAAAAAAAAAAAAAAGGGGGGGGGAGACTGGAGACCGGACCAGTCTGTCGCCACAAGCACGTTAAAACTCAAGCGCAGACGGCACAGAAGTGTCCCTTTTCAAAGCCTCAGAAAGGTCGCTAGTCTTTGAAGACGTGTGTCGCGACACTAGCAGTGGTCGTCAGTGGAAAGACGTTCCGGCTTCTCTGAACACCTTCACTGCGTTTTCAGCTGAATATTTCCAAGCGTCAGGGCACCAAAAAGCGTTTTAAAAAATGTCACAGTTCCGACCGCTTCCACAGTGCAGGCCATGCCACACGGGAGCGGCAACCGGCTCGTCAACCAAACGCCCAGGCGCATTCTTCATGGGTTGCGCCTGTTCGTTTGGTGCAGGCGAAACCGATTGGCCGGCTGCTGGGGCCGGTTTGCCACCAGGAAAGCAGTCCGGGAAGTTGGAGTCGCTGCTGATATCGACTGTGGCAGACTCGAGGTGCTCATGCTTTTCCGCATTGTTCTTCTCACGGACTGAGCACCGCTTCTTATGCTGCCTGGTGCCACTGAAAATGAGAGATGGGCATCTCTTAGTTACTTTGTTTGGTTTTCAATGGTGCAAAAGCAGCTGAAGCTATGCTGCACTGGGCACATGGTGATAGATACTGAACATTGAAATGATGTTAACAGCTTATTGGAAAATTCGGTCTCTTAAAGTTCAGCACAGGAGACCATCTCCAAGAAGAAGAGCAAGGTTAATAGACACGCGTATCATTGGCTAAAATACTTCCGCCTGTGCAACAGTACAGGGACGTTCAATTAGGACGTATGTAACACCCGTGTCACACGGTAAACCTAATGTCAGTTACAGCAAATGTCATTCGTTTGTATTGTCACGCTTGCCGTCATATGGGTGAACCAATGCATTCGATGAAAATGAACTTTTCTTCCGAAAGCGTTTCCGAAACATTCTTGTTCAATTTCAGAATGAATGCGTAGCCTCGACGCCAGGGACCTCTTAGGGATGGCTACTGCCCGACATAAAAGTAACTTTCGTAATTTGTAACTGTCATACTCTTTAGAAAGCTACCCTCAAATACAGTGGCTGGATGCCGGCCACAAGTTGACTGTCTGATTGCGAGCGTTTTTTGGCGAGGCAGGTGGCGACTACACGAATTAGCTGATGCTGTCTCATTCTGCAGCTGGAGCATCAATCGTACTCCCACGCTTCAAACTGACAGTATCTGTTGAAAGTCGCGCGAAACGGCTGCTTTCGTAATCTTGGAGCAACTTTTTAGTGATAAAAATTATGTTGAAGGGTGCACGCATGTTTCACGCAAGTATTGATATGCTTTTATTTCTACAGGAGGGCTAACGTGTGTGCAATCATACACATCAAACGCGAAGGCTTGTGAGACACTGGCTAGAAACCAGATTTAAGTGTTCCCAGACTGGACAAGTGTAAGTTATATAAGTGTAAAAGTATATATATGTGTGTATAAGTTGCTGCACTTCCTACCAAGGTGGATTCATATCAACTGGCCCGATATAATTGCTTATTGGACAAGTAGCACTGATTTAGCTTCACTGCGGCACATATTGTTGCAAGACACTACCACGTTAGACGAGCTGTTCAAAACCTCCGGCCCTGGAAGTCATGACAAAAATAGATAAAGCCAATAACAAATTGCCTGTATTTTGACCTGGAGAGTCCGTTCTGGCTGCTCCAAAATAAACAAATCTTTAACTGCCTGCTAATTAGTATTAATGATATACAAATAATGCAGGCCTATTTCTCGCGAAAGGATACGTGCCTTGAAATAAGGTTGTGCAAATATGACACACTTTCACAAACAAAAGCTCGCCCCTGAAGGAAGAGGATGTTATTGAACTTCTTATTACATATGCTATCCGCAAATATTTTGTCATCACGGTCTCATCCAAATAGCCTGTAAGGAAATGTGTAGCCAACCACGGCTGTGATGCTTGACAGCCACACAACTGCAACAAAACATTCCATGGCAGCTTTGAGAGCCACTTGCAAAGATGTCAAGAACACCAGCCAAACATTAAAGAGTAAATACTTACCACAATAGTTTCAGGACAGACCAAATGCAGTGTTTGGGGTGAGAAAAAATGCAAAATATAAATCCTTAGTCCAGTTAAAAAGAGAAAACTCGATTATTTTAGTATGGATATTTTTCTCAGAGAACAGGCAATTCGCAGTGGTGAGAACGCCTTCAAGCATTTCAGAGCAGCTACCTGTGTGTTTGGTGCACACCCGGGCTTTCCATGACACACACAGAGGAAGAAAAGTTAGTTTTGATTTAATTTATTGTTCGCTCGCTTTACGTAATCATTAATACAGAAGCAGCAAGTGCACGAGATAAGCACAAAAGTAAACAAAAGTAGGATTCTGTACAGAAGCACTGACACAGGGTGGTGAAGGATATTGCACCAACAAGCAAGCCATACCATGAAGTTCATAGCAGTGCGCACATGCAAACACACATATTCAAAGCTCGTTACAGTAAAGCCTTATTAACATGTACATACATGCGGACAACCTGCAGGAAACACTGCTAACTATGCACTAAGCGTGGGTGTACATAACCACGTGCATAACCGTACATAATTGTGTGCAGGGTTCCCCTTCGAGGTAAGGGGGAGTGGAAATTTGTGGCAGCCCCCCCACCCACGCCTATAAGTACTGATTTGCATTTCTTTACGTGTGCCGTCACTTCTAAAAAACAAATAAATACAGTGCCAAAGCAAATATTCGGGAGTTTTTGAATAATCGTCATCATAAGCCTGACTGCGTCCACTGCAGGACAAAGGCCTCTCCCATGGTGAGCCAGTCAACTCGGTCCTGTGCTTGCTGCTGCCCTAACCCGCTTACCTTCTCTGGTAATCCAGTTATTTACCCTTAATGACCAGTAGTTATCCTGCCTATGCGCTACATGCCCGGCATATGTCCATTTCCTCTTCTTGATTTCAATTATGATATCCTTAACCCCGGTTTGTTTCCTGACCCACTCAGCTCTCTTCTTGTCCCTTGAGGTTACACCTACCATTTTCTTTTCCATTGCTCACAGCGTTGTCCTCAATTTAGGCTGAACCCTCTTTGTAAGTCTTCAGGTTTCTGCTCCATAGTTAAGTACCGGCAAGACGCAGCTGTTATATACCTTCTTGAGGGATAGAGGTAATCTACCAGTCATGATTGAGAGTGCTTGTTAAACGTGCTCCACCCCATTCTTATTCTTCTAGTTACTTCCATCTCATGGTTCGGCTCTGCGGTTATTACCTGTTCTAAGTAAACACCTTTTACAACCTGAAGTGCACTATTACCTATCTGTGCACTATTACCTAGTATTTGTATAGCGTACCGCAAAACATTGCATTTTGGTCGCTGCCACTGTACATGTGTCATAACGTCAACCGCAGTAAGCGTTTGGGGTCTGTCCGCAAACCAATCCGAAATAGCCTGCGACTCGCAAGGCTTGCAAAGCCCCTTTGCAGTTTAGGAAGACAAACGCTATTCGAAAACTCATACGGAACCCATACGCAAATGCTACGCCTGCCATGCCCACTAACTTAGCGTACGCTATTTGAAAACTACCTATTGCCTAAAGTGGCCCCCATGATGCCATTTATTTCCTTTTGCCAATGTTCAGAAACGTTTGCCATACATACTCGCACGATTGTGACACCAAAGCGACACCAAAGATCATTTCTAAAATACTGCGAAGTTCGCACGTCGGGCACATGCAGCCAGCACAGTGACTGACATTGCGAAGAAAAAGACATAATTGGCTGTCCGCGATAAATGTGTACCGCGATCTGCTACTTAGCGAACGCAGACAATTTTTTTGAGACGCGGTACGGTTGCGAGGAGCCGATCGTCTACTGGCTAGTTGCATGCAGCGCTTCGCCTACTTGGTATACACACCGAGCCGAGCCGCTTGCGCCCACTCCACTTCACACCGAGCACACATGAGGCGAGAAGCATGGTGCGTTAACACAACGATGCGAGCTTTCTGCGAGCTATGCTCTAGTAGTCCTGGCAGCGTATGGAGGTGCACTTGGGCTGTCGCCTCATAAAAGCGTGAGCTACGCTTGCTGCCTCGGTGCCCGCAATCCACAATGCTCAATTCCGCAACAGCGAGCCGCTGTCATTTTTGCAATGTGGTGCACGCTGAACACGGTACGGCACAATGATTGAGGTGGCAGCGATCGACGCCTAAGCGCTCTCAGGTAGTCGCCAGTTATTAAAAGCGTGCAGTAGGCTTAAAGCGGAGCAACGCCGTACACGCATGTTGTAAGCGATAAGTCATACTAGCGTACCTTTCGTAAGTCGCCACATCGCCTTTGTTCTTTCCCAATGGTTACGAGAAAAGGCACCGCTGTAATTGCGCGGAAGTCGGAATAATTGATTGGCGGCCGATTACGTGCTTTTGCAGCGGTGCAAATACAGCAGCGCAGGTGTACAAGGTGGCAACCTTCACGTAATATCCGCTCACGATGCGTGCTGTCAACATAACATTCGGTTCCAAAACCACCTAGTAGCGCAGCAATGGCACAAATAAGACAAAAAAAAAGACCCTTTTGAAGCAGTATGGCGCAGTCATTTGCAGTTGGCGCAGGTTTTCCACCATTGAATTGGACTTCTTGGACTGTGGTCTAGAAGCTACCACCACTCCATAGAAGCTGCCAGGGGTTTCACCTTAAAGGCTTAAAAATACACTACCGCTCCGTAGGGGGCACTAGTCATGTAGGACATCTCAAAGCAGGTAATTGTGAAATGTAGAGTCATGCACAAATGTAGCACGTTTAACATATTACAACAGCTTTTGCAAATGAAAACTCCAGATAACAATCTCACACTAGTAACTATATACGGTTGTTAAAGATTCGACTGCACACAAGCTTGTCAAAAAAAAAAAACTAACAATATGAGTTCCGGCAAAAACAGGAACCAGAGAACTTGTTTGAGTGCTAACCTGTTCGTATCCTGACTGCCAATGAATGCACAAGAATATGCATTAGAGGCGTTAAAAATAAACGGCACGCACCCGCATTGTTCAGTTACAATATTGCAAGAGCATCTTATTTTTATTAAGTTTAAAATACCCAATATTTAGGCTTGTGCCAAAAGCGAATTTTAGGTTCGAAGTGAGAAGTGATTTCGCTCGAGTAATTTTGAATCGAATTTGAATAGCACACATATCGCATATTACAAAGAAAAATGGGCATATTTTTCCGGACCTAACTAACCAGCACAATATTTTTCAAACATTACAACGAGGCCTGTGCAAATACTATGTTTTTACATCAAAGGAAGTGGATGCAACTTTGAATTTTGGCTGGATCTGACTTGCAGTAGATTTCAAGTGATAGCCTATAAAATATGTTACGTTTTAAAACTTGCTATACTTAGGGCGCAGCAGTCAGTATAACAAGATTTTAAACTAAAGAAAAAATGAATCTGTGAGAATAATACTTTTGTTTAACCTTGAAATGGGGCTTCGCGGCAGTGCGGATTTCCGTCAAGTACGCATTCTCACAGCTTAGCACCTCTTTGCTGCAGTGAAACCACTTTTACGGAGACGATTACATGCGAATTAATATGCACTTGGTTAGGTGCTTTTGCGGATCCATACCCTTCCACTGCCGTGAAACCAGCTGTACAAAATGTTACATGCGGATTAATGTGCATCTCTATTCTGTCTTTTCGATTAATTCGATAGTTTCAATAACTTAAATATAATTCGAGGCGAATTCAAATACCGCAGTATTCGTTCTCAGATACTCGAAGCATTCAAATATTCTCATAAGCTTATCAATACTGCCTTTACCTTTTAAGTTTGTACTTTAAATCCACAGAACAACGTAGCACATTGGATTCAGGGACATATTTACATTGGAGCAAGCACTGTCAAATTCGCCCCCAAATTTGCCTAACCAAATAATGCAATGATTTGGCAAATCATGTCAGGGTCAAAACGATGAAAATTCATTGCACTAGAACAGATCAGGCATACTGCTGGCCATGATGGCACGTACCACACCCGATACATGTGTGCCAAACTTGTTGTTACCAAGTCGTTCCTGAAATGCCTCTTTATGCAGGAACACTATGTAAACGAGCAAAAGTTCAAATAACTAAACAGTGCACTTTTGAGTGGGAAAATGTAATTGAGTTGGGAATCACTACTTAGCTGAAGTTCTCTTTCGGTTAACAGCACACGGCATGTTACATGCATTCCTACTCATGAAAAGCTTGTACTCGTACAGATGTACATAGACTAGCTAGATAAAAAAAGGAACATTAAGGAACCAAGACGATACACTCCATTAACAGGAGTCTACTAACGGAGAGTTGAACTGAAGTGCAGATTTCAAGTACAAACCGAACTTAGCAGAGGCACTTGTTGAACTAAAGCAGCCACTTTGTTTAACGAATTTCTAGTCACTCAAAACCAACTCATGTTTATGTTTCTGATGTGCCTCTTCCCGATGCTGAACTGCAGTACAATGTGCATATTTCTTGCCACAGCTGTAGAGACACCAAAGAGGACCAGCAGTACAAAATTCAAGTGCACAGGAGCCTCGATATAACGAACTGGATATAACGAAATATTGGTTATAATGCAGTAGATGAAGAATAATTACAATAGATATAGTGTTAGATATAACAAATTTTTGGATATAACGAAGTTATTTTCGTGTAACATGCAACTTCATTATAAGGAGGAGGTCTGAGTGTACGTCAATGTCAATCAGTGCTATCAACATTATGCCGCGCTGCCCTGAAAATGCAACCAGACTCACCAAAGATGGATCGCGGTGCCGAGTTCTCTTTGTGCCCAATAGATGGGCGGTACTTTGCAAACTTCCGTGATTGCGGTGCGGCCTTCGACGTGGACGCCTGCGGAGACGAGACTGGAAGAGAGCAAAAGTGCGATGCTTTATTGCCGCTGTGACAACATAGTGCTGCAACACGGAATGTAACGAGAGGGGGTCCAGCTCACACTATTACACTCAAATCTCAATATAACGAACCCGGATACAGTTAAACCCCTTTATAAGAGGCATGCTCCAGGCAGCAATTCTTGTCTTTTATACAAGATGTCTTATAAGCAGGGGACCTCGTATGCATTTTCATATCCCCCATATTTTACTGTAGGCATACTAAAGTCTATTATACCCATTTGTCTCTTATAAAAAAGGGTTTGACTGTGTAACAAAATATTGATTGTAACAAAGTAAATGAAGAATAGTCTTGCAATAGATACAGTCCTAATACACTTTTATAATAAATTTTCTGTTATAACGAACTTTTCATGTAAGATGGAACATTGTTATGAGGTTTGACAATGATTGTTATGGTTTAACCCCCAAACCGACAATATCATGTACATGATGATATTGTCGGTTTGGGGTTATTGTCGATTTGGGGGTTTGGGGGTTACACCTACTGGAGGGCTTTGAAAGTTTCAACCACCTGGGGTTTCTAAACATGCACCTAAATGCAAGCACACGGGCCTCAACCATTTTCACCTAAAAGAGGGCTGAGTTTGCCTGCTAACTCAACGATTTAAGTTTACGGCTATGGGTTGCCACGTAATGGTGCAGCCTTTAAAAGCGTCTCTACGGCACATGCTCAATGCGTCAAATAGGCGTTACCTGCAGAGTTCATTGTGCTTAGTAGAAAATCAGGTTGCCTGTGACCCAGATTTTTTATGCCCATTAATCTGCGCCATAACAACAATGCACACTGACCTTGATACAACGAACACACATAAAACACATTATCGATCACAACAATGTGAATGATGAATAGTCTAGTCATTGGTAAAGTGCTATGAATATACATTAGTAGTCAACCGTTGCTAATTTGGACATGCCTGAATATTAACTTGCTTTCACAACACTTTCACAAGCCTCATTGATGTCGAGCTGCAGAATCGCAGGAAACGAAACAAGCGCGAAAAAAAAAAAAACGCCCAAAATGTTAGACGCTGAAAATTTGTTGTGATAGGATTTCACAGCGTAAAATTTTTCAAAATTTCCGCCCTAACTGCAGATCCAAAGTGGCATTTAAGTGAAGCCCATGCCTCTGCCGTACCACTCATCTCATAGCTTCGAGCACTTTCACAAGATTATCAGTTAGTGGCCATAGCAGCGTACAAAGTGTATGCTATGGGCTGAGGCAGACTTAAAACCCGAAGGAGTCACTAGACAGTTATAGTATACCGGGCGTACCGTGATACCGAAATAGAAGTGCGCATGCGCAGATACGTGCGTTACCCGTATCGCTTACCGTACGCGCGGTATTTTTCAGATTTATCAATACCGTGGTAGCGTACGCATACGTAGTGTACATAAACATGGTGGCACTCTCGAACGCCTGCTTCGAAGCGATTTTGGCGTAGTTGTTAAAAGATTCACCTTGTTCGCAGCAAACGACTGTTTAAAGTGGCTTCGCTTGCCTTCAGTTAGCTCCAACGACAGTATTATGGATAAGTTGGCATAGTTTATGAGATAGCTTCCCAGTTCGAACATGTCTCGGCCTAACTACAAGATCGATGTAAACAAATTGGCAACATGATTTTTGGTTCATATTTATTTGCTTCTATTATTAGTCAAATAAACTTTTAACAACGCTTCACACTGTGGCATAGGCAAACATTCTCGTTATATTTAAAATTCCTTTTCACTGTCTTTAACTTATTAACCATCCGTCTTAGCTGGGGCCCGTAAACCACGTAAACGCTAGCCCGCTAAACTATAAGACGCTGTCCACAACGAACATTTGCTGCATGGTAACGCCATTCCCTTAAACTCCACTATCACGTTAACCGTAAACTATAACTGCCTACAGTGAAATCTCGGTATAACAAACTTCAGGGGACCGCGGAAAAGGTCGCTATAGTGAAAGCTCGAAAATTAACCATAAATACTTATTTTTCAGCGACGTGGGAGTCGCCCGCTGCGCGCTGACGCGTGCCTTGCAGGACCACAATAAAGTTTCGCAACCAACCGACCAAAACAACTTACCTTTACAACGATGGGTCCTTGAACTCGTTTTTCACGGAAAAAAAAACAAATGCACAAGTAAACAATAAAATGCACGTTTACTTCAAAGAAGTCTGTATTTTTTTTTCTCTTGACGCGAGCAGCACAATCTTTGCAGCGCGAAGGCCTTCAGCTCATCCACATTTCTGTGGTGCGATTCGGTTCTTTGGTCACAACAGCCTGCTTTTTTCCTTCCAGTTGCCGAAGAATATCCATTGTCTCGCTTAGCGAACACTGCTTCCGCTTCATCGTCGCAAGCAGAGATGAACTCATTTGTAGTATCACCGCAGCGCGAACGCCGACTTGCTTTGCGAACGCGATAAGTAATCACCGAAAAGAGATGAACACGACTGAAGAAACAAGGCCTCCAAAGAAAAACCCGAAGAACCACCGCTGTCATCGCTTCTTTCGAAGAAAAAAAAATGGTAAAAAAGAAAATTCGTCGCACTTCGTTTTCTGCTCTCTCGCTGTCTCAGGTTTCCCGCGCCCATGCTTCCTGTTGCGCAACTCCCAATCTGCCTCGCTGACCTTGCCCTCCCGTGTTGCCCTCGCCTTTGCGCTCGCTTTGTAAACCTGCAGCGTCGGCGTTTCAACAAAAAGAAAGAAAAGAAAGTCGGCCTTTTTTTTTCCCTCCACACCGTCGCGCGTCTTCCGAGAAGCAAGGCTTCCGTTCGCTTTTTCGTCTGCTTGCGTATCGCTCCGGTGGTTGCGATGGATTTCAGAACATAAGCTCTTAGTACTGAGGCGTTGTTAATATAACGCAGAACTAAATTAACACTCGTTATTCTGAAAAGTTTGGTACTTTTTTAAAAGTTCGTTAATGTTGGGTTCGTTTTACAGAGATTTCACTGTACTATGACAGCGCAGTGTGCTGATGGTGTTGGGTTGTAAACACCACCATATATAAAATGATTTTTTAGCGAACTGATTACCGCACGGGACGTATCACAGTTGTGTGCCTACCACACGCTTTTATTAGGCAACAACTCAAATGCGCTGCCATTCACGCTGCCTCTGAGTGAGGCGGCTAAGTGCACTGCAAAGATGTGTTGCCTTCGCAAAAAAAAAAAAGTAGCTTGCCATCACTGCACCCACGTGTGCGGTGAGGAACGGGTTGAGGGACGTCATATGCAACTTCGTTACATTCCGAGTTGAGTGTAATATCGAGAAAGTTCAGAGGAGCGCTGAAAGACAAGAATAGAGAAGTGCAACTACTCACTTGGCTCGAACATTCGCAGCTTGGGAGTGTCGCTGACGAACGTCTCATTCGCCGCATTCGACTGCATCGAGCTCCACGATGGACTCGCCGATGTGCTGGCGACGTCCGTGCTCCTGCTACGCCTGTGGCGGCGTGGGTGCGGGGATCCGTTTGGAAACCGGACGAACGTCACGTCACCTGTGCAGCCTGATCCAAAGCCAGAGCCAATAAAGAAGAATAGGAACAAACTGAGAGGAGTGCCTAACAGAGCCTCCAACTAATTAGACCACTTACTACGGTAAAAATTTGCTAGTGTGTACTGGCCTTAAACACACTGTGATGGCAAACGATTCAAAACTAAAACAGTAAAGATGAAAGAAACCCCAGTGGGTGAACTCAGGCCCAGGACAAGAAAGGATCAAAGTACAAGCAACACTCGCCGAATGACAGTAACAGTCAGCACGAACATTGGTTATCAATGGTGTGCTACTCTGTGAAACGAGTCCGCTTTTATACAGTGTGTCAAATTTTCCAGCATTATTGCTGAAGCTCACCTTAGATTTAGACTAAGCAAGCTCAGTTTTTCATGTTATGCGTGTCATCTTAACAGAAATATTCTGAAACCATCGCAATGTTTCCAAACACTGCGACACGACCCGATATACCTTGTTGAGTGGATGAAACCTTATCGCAATAAAATAAAACAAATAAGCGTGTATAGCAACACTAACAGTTCAAACATAGTTGTGATAAATTGTGATCATGCACAGCCCTGTTGCGATACCTGGCAGCAAGGCCTTAAGGGGGCAGACTGGTCTTTGGGACCAAAAAGTTACAAAAAAATTCATTTTTTTAAATTGACATATTTGGTTTTTACAAGTATTTTTCCATTTCTCTGCGAATTTTCATGCACCAGGAAGTAGTAATTTTTTTGTAATGTCATTCTAACTGTCCAGATTCTTGCTGTTAACATGCAGAACCTTCAAAAAAAAAATGCTGAGCCGACTTGGAGGCTTGTTTATAATTTGCCAGCACCTGTGTCTAAAGCTGTACTACTAATTTATGAGCGCCTTTATGAGGAATTGCAAAACATGCGCACCATGATTGTCGCTTTTTGAAGAAACTGTGTGCTTTCAGTTTTTTTTTTCATTTTTCTCAAAAAAAGTAAATTTGAGACTATTCAATTTTGAGGCCTCAATATCTCTGCAGCTAGGGCAGGTACAATAATCATTCTTTTTGCAGTGGAAACCTGTATGTGTGTAGAATGCAAGTATGAGAGCAGAATTTAGAGCGCATGCCTTTTTAATTAATTACCAATCGAAATTGTGGCACAATTCCAACTGCTTTTGAAAATGGATAGTTCTTTTTGCTGTAAAAGAACCAATAAAGGCCTAAAAAAAAAAAAAAACTCTTCCACACATTCACTCTATAGTCATTAGTCTACGTTGGCATATCCTAAATATCACTTCTAAATAAGCACTTTTTTTCTATGGCGGCCTTAAACAATAGGGACTTAATTTATCTCAGGAACAAGGTGAGTTATAGGAAAACTAATTAAATATTTGAAATCAGCAGGAAAAACTGCATAACCCTGAGCAGTTTGATCAAGATCATGTCTAAGACCAGGCTGCCCCCTTAAGGAGATACAAGATGGATTAATCAGAGCCAAAAATACTCACCTTCAAAGGAGTCGTCGAGTTTAATGGACGGCAGAGCAACAGACTTCCTTCGCACTGTGGTGGCCAGCCGCCAATCAGGAGCGTGGAGCAGACTTGCGAGATCCAGCTGACCGTTTGCCCCTTCATTTTGTTCATCCGCCCACGTGACACCGGGACCCTTCGCCTAGGCAAAAAAGAAAGCCAACAGTAAATTACCGTATTTACTCGATTCGACTGCGCCCTCGATTGTAATGAGCACCCGGTTTCCCCGACGAAATAAAAGAAAGACATGGATCACAATGCGCACCTATTTTTCTCGTTGGCCCGCACGATCACAACACTCTGGAAAACGACTCCTTTCGGGAGCGTCTTCCGTTTAAATTTGAGGTACGGGGGAAGCTTGTGCCCATCTGACGTGTAACAGAGCATTGCCGTCACTAGTTTTAACGTGGCCCGATGTCAGCACGCGAACTTGCTTCGCCCCCTTCTTCTCGACGGTTGTGGTGACAGGCATGTCGAAGTAAAGAGGCGTCTGATTGGCATTCCCAATTTGCCCAAGCAGGTAGCCGTTGTTGTGCCGCAAGTTTAGGACGAACCTCTGAAAACTGTGACGCTTTTCTTTGTACTCCTCCGGCAACTTTTCGCATATGCCCGTTCGACTTCGGAGGGAAAAGCCTTTCAATTTCATAAAGTTAGTTAGCCAGCACCTGCTCGCTTTAAACTGGTCCGCATTAGCCCTTTTTCTAAGGCTAACTGCATAGCCCGCACTTGGAGCAGTTCTGTCGTCACGGGCCGCTGTGCCGCTCACTGCTCAATCACATTCTCGCCGAGCAGCTCTTCAATTTGCGGAAACCGACCGTGCTGTGGTCCACTGAAGCCTTTATCTTTGCTGTCGGCAATCTTCTGCTTTTATTTCCGCCAGTCCCGCACGCACGCTTCGGGAACTCCGAACGACCGCGATGCGGCCGGATTTCCGTCCGTTTCGGCACACTTGATGACTTTTTTTAAAAGCGACATCGTGGTGCACTCGTCGAGTTTTTAAAGTCTGCCCTTCCATGCCGTCGATGCTAATGCACACCAAGATGACGAACTACTCAGTACACGTACGAAGTGCCGCTCATGGGAAACACATAGGCAGAAATGGCCGACGCGCCATGCCGACGCACAAGGGGGCGGCTATTTTGGAAATGCCGATGGCAATAGAATGACCGTATTCATTTTTTTTCTGTACTCTATTCTAACGCGCATGCGATTTATGAACTGGCTTAACCGGAAAAAAGGTGCGCGTTAGATTCGAGTAATTACGGTACACAAATGGGCAAATAATAATTGAACACTTACTGCTCATGCGAAATGGTGGCCATTGGTCGTTTCCTGTACATGTGCACAGATAGCGCTGCTCCGAATTCTTTTTTTTTTTAACTTGTCTATGGAACCATGTTATAGTGCTACTTGACAGTATCATCAATGACTTTAGTGTCTTCTTATTTTCATCCAGACTACAATTGCATAAGAAAAAAAAACGCAAGACAGCAGGGAACCTAGATATTGCATTGTTGGTTTATTTTCATTGACCTCGATTTTTTCATTTTTTTATTAGTTGAAAAGTGTGTTAAGGGGAGACGAAGGTCTTAAAGTAGTACAAAATTGTAAAAAGTGCCGACTTTCGAAAATTGAAATTTGAGGTATTTGTAGTCGAACGTATGTTTTGAAAAACTTTTATAATATGGCAAAATACCATTCCTTTTTGTTAAAAGCTTAAGGGGGGACACGGGTCCCCCCTTAAGCAGTTCACATTGCGGTGAACTGCGATCGCAGTGGAGCTCGCGGCGAGTTGCTGGCTCGGCGACGTGCAATCCCTTCGAAATATTCTCGCTGCACGGGCGGTGCAAAGCACGGGGAATGGGCAGACTGCCCTAAATGACATTTTTTCTGCCATTGGAGTTTCTCACAGAGGTCTTCACAATAAGACCTACCAGCATTATTTGAAGACCAAGCTGAACCCAGCTACGGCAAAAGCATGCTCTGAGAACTTGGCAAAGTGTGCTGCCGAAGTGAAACAGCTGTACAGTGACCTGAATTTTGGAAATCCGGGTAACATTGCTGTTTGTTTTGATGGCTCATGGCACACACGTGGACACTCTTCTCACATTGGTGTGGCCACCGTGATTGAGCTATTTACAGGATATGTGCTAGATTACGTGGTTCTCTCCAATTTCTGCCTCGGCTGTGAGTGTGGGCCGCAGCCAGATAGCCCAGATTATGCTGCATGGAAGGCACAGCACTTATGCCAAAAAAACACAAGCTGCAAGGCAGGCCAAATGGAAGTTGAGGCAGCAAAGATTCTGTTTCAACGTTCACTCTCTCTGCATGGCCTCAGGTATACAACCATGCTCTGTGATAGTGATAGCCGCTCATTCATTGCCATTGATGAAGCCAAAGTTTATGGCTTTATTCCTGTGGTAAAAGAAGAGTGCACCAACCACATTCAGAAGCGAATGGGCACAGCGCTTCGCACCCTTGTGCAAAAGCACAAGTCAGGTGATGCGCAGCGCATTAGTGGTAAAGGACGGCTGACCGCAGACCTGATCACCAAGATCTCCAGCTATTATGGATGGGCTATCAAGTCTTTTGCTGGAGACTTAGATAAAATGCACAACGCAGTGTGGGCCACATTCTATCACATTACGTCGACAGATGAGAAGCCCAATCATAACTTCTGTCCGGATGGTCCTGACTCATGGTGTAAATATAACTCGGCCATGGCAAAGAACGAACCACCACCAAAAAGCAGGTACAACTTGCCAGAAGCGGTCACCAGTGCACTGCGGCCCATTTTTGAGCGTCTGGCTGACAAGAAGTTGCTGCAGCGGTGCCTGAGAGGACAAACTCAGAACGCTAATGAGGCACTGCATTCAGTCATTTGGAGCCTCGCGCCCAAAGACAAAAATGCCTCACTATATGCAGTCGAGGCAGCAGTTGGAGAGGCTGTGATGAGGTTCAACCTTGGCACCCACAATGCCAGCTCAAGCATATTGCGAGAGCTCCAAGTAGAGCAAACCGCCAAGGGTAGCCGAAGGGCTAATGAAAGGACTCCCAACGCACTATCAATGCAGAAAGGAAGAGGGGGTCATCAGCAGCCTTTCAGGCAGCTGCAAAGCGGAGGCAAAGAGGAAAGCCCCACCCAGATTATTCTCCAGGAGCCTTTTGAGCCACTGGCTGTTGTAATTTCGCCCATCCAGGAGAATAAAAGGCTTTTTTCACATGTCTATTAGTTTTTCCCACTTTTCTCAAAACACTTTTATTGGCCGTCTCCAATTTTCTGGGTGGCTGTTGTTACCCTTCTTAATCATCCAATTTTAATGGGTTTTTTTTTGTCTTATAGCTAGACTTCCAAAGAGTGCAATATGCCTATAATACAATGTTTCTTCACCCTGAAACATTTTGAAATTTTGGGCAAACAACAGACAAAGAATTCATGTCTGATGATGATATATGGTGTTTTTGGCGCAAGGGCCATTTGATGGCCAAAGAGCGCCAGTTCATGAGACAGGAATGTGGACAATGGTTGTGATTAGCGGCTGTATAGGGGCCATAAAATTCCTCGCAGTAAAGCGGGTAAAACATACAAGTAATAAAATCATGACTATGCCGTGAAAGGTGTGCATGGTGTGAATAGGTGACAAAAGTTGGTGATAATGAAAAACGATGGTGGACATGTATGGCATTAGCACAAGTACCTCACACGTTAGTACCCTTGCGTGCAAGGGTCGTGAGGCAAGTGCTTTCCTGTGTAGCCACCGCAGCAAAAACCTCTCTAGAGAGGTCATGCTACGGTATGCCCGGGTATATGATATGAAAATTGTGAATTTCCTTTAAAAACGCTAATAATGATTTGTGACTAAAAAGCGGTTCCCTACCGACGAACATTGCAGGGTGTAAAGGTATATGTTGTCGGTAGGGTAGTGGGAAGTGTTGTCTTCTTAGAGTGTCTAAATGATTACATTGAATTAAAACGTGAATAACTGTTAATGCCTCACCACATTTATCACACAATGGTGGATCATCACCAGACAAAAGATGTGTGTGTGTCGTGTATATGTGTCCTATCCTGAGTCTTGTTAGTGTTACCTCTGTTAGACGTGATTTTGATACTGGTGGCCAATGGCCAAGGTGTGGCTTGATAACGTGTAGTTTGTTTTGTGTGTGTGTATCCCACTTGCTCTGCCAGTAGTCCCTGAGGTTTCGTTTGAGAGAGTGCTTCAGATCAAGGACCGGGATTGATATGGATGTAGGGGCAGTGTTTTTGTGGACGGATGCAGCGAGCTGATCCGCCCTCACGTTGCCTTGGATCTCACGGTGCCCTGGCACCCAGCACACTACAACATGTTGGTTGAGTGTGTAGAGTGTGCAAAATATGGAGTAAAGTGAGACAAGGACAGGGTTTTTTTGTTTTTTAAGACTGTGCAGAGCCGTTACCACACTGAGGGAGTCTGTATAAATTACTGCTTTTTGTATTTGTAATTGTTTAATGTGTTTAGCTGCCACAAGTATCGCGTAAGCTTCCGCTGTGAAGATACTTGTGCCTGGATGTAGAGGGCCAGCATCCGAAAAGGAAGGGCCAACAGCAGCGTAGGACACAGAGGAGTTAGACTTAGAGGCATCTGTAAAAAACTCAGGACGTGTGTATTTGTGTTGAAGTTCCAGGAAATATGTTCGGATATGAGCAATGGGCGCATGTTTTGTAACCTCTAGAAAAGACACATCACAGTCTATAGTCTGCCACTGCCACGGTGGCGGGTACGCTACAGGAGCCATTAAACTGTGTTCGAGTGACACTCCAGTGTCCTCAGCTAGACCCTTCAGGCGAACTGAGAAGGGCTGCCTCATTGAAGGCCTGTTTTGAAAAAGAATGGAGCTCAACAAGTCATTAATAGTAGAGTATGAGGGGTGCCTCTTGTCTGCTTTCACCTTAAGGAAGTATACAAAGGACATGTAGGTTCTTTGCAGATGAAGCGACCACTCATTTGACTCAACATAAAGGCTTTCTACGGGGCTGGTGCGAAAAGCACCCGTAGAAAGGCGGATGCCCAAATGGTGCACGGGGTCCAGCATCTTCAAGGCACTTTGAGTAGCAGACTGATAGACAACGGCCCCATAATCTAAGCGGGTGCGAATGAGGCT